TTCCTGCTGCCCAGCCTCCTTGTGTGGGGACAAGTGTCTCTCCTGCCTGGAAGCCACAGAGGGCTTGGAGACTGTCCAGGTAGGTGGGCAGAACTGGACCCCAGCAGCCTCACTGGGAAAGAAGACAGTGTCGGGGGAGAGGGGCCAGCCTTGTAGTGCTCAAACTGGCTTAATGGGACCACCCCAGGAGCACCCAATTCAGTGAGAGGGAGAGCCAGAGCATACTGGCAGGAATTGATCATGCCACAGCTCAGGACCAGAAGTACTTATGAATGGGTGGAGCAACCTGGCATTGGCTCTCGCATTTTTTCTTCACGTGGCGGGTGAGAATTTTGTCGAGAGAATGGAAGGCAGATAATGGAGCTGAAGAGTCTTGCTGTGTCAAGATACACAGTGTGAAAGCTCAGCAGTGGTTGAAGTCTGTCAGTTTGCATAAATTAAGTGTTTCCACGACATGAAGCTTCTGGAAGGTTCCTGTTGCCAGCACAGTACTTGGGATATTTTGGACCGTCTGCTGTCCCCACTGCCAGAATCTAAGGTCCCTGATTTGGTGACCTCCAGGTAGAAGACAAAATCTGACCACACACCAGGGAGAGTCCTTCCCTGCTGGGCAGATGCTGAAGGACCCAGCTCCTCACCTTACAGCTCCTTTTTCCATGAGTTGGAGCTGCTCTGGAGTTCTGTTCCTTTTGCACTGCAACCTGCCTTTGCATCCTGAGATTTGTTCTCAAGGAAGCTGTCACAGCTGAAGGAGCTGAAAGAAGCTGGTGGCTGGATGTGAGTCCACCTACACATCCCTGGACTGGGTATTCCCATGCTCTGCAGGAGGGAGAGAATCCCTCTCGTCTCTTTTCCCCTGTGACTGTGTGGATGCAGAAGGACTCTATTTGTGGCCATTTCAGTTCCTCACCATTGCCCCTTGTTGAACTCATGCTCAGTTTTTCCTCCTGTGGACTCTTTTCCTTGCCCATTTGGACTTCACTGCCTTCGCTGAGGATCTCGTTTGTCATTGTGTCACTGCTGGAGTGGTACAGAAAACCTCCGACCCACATCCCAGATGCTGCTAATGTCTCAGACAGGACCCACACTTGCGCAGTGCCACTGTTGCTGCTCGTTTGAGCCCTTGGACAATTCCAACATTCCTTTCTTGAGTGATGTATGATGGCTTTCTCCAACCCTGGGGCTGGGAGTCCTCCTATGGGCATCATAACCAGGTCCATATGGCTCGACTCTGGCTCCTCCCTCTGTGCCACCACATGGGCTCTGACGCTGCCCTGTTTTCTGTACTCAGCGCCAAGGCTGAGGAGCAGATGTTTGAGCCAGCTTCCAGGTAGACTTTGAGCCATTGCCCACTCTCTCTGAGCCCAGTGGTCCAGGCTGGCACCTCATACCAATTCCTCACACCTTTATGCCCACTTGCATGGCTAAGATCTTCACCAAGCATTATATAGCATCCAAAAAAGCATACTGTCCTCTGTTATGATTATTATGTGTCTGTGGAACTCCAAGACCAGCTTTGAGGTTTGGATGAGTTCAAACACATCTCTGCCTGGACCCAAGCAGTATGAATGCAGATGTGCACCACCACCTATTCTTGTCAGGAGCACTTTGAGTTGTGTGTATTTCCACTGTATTTCCACTGATCTTCTGCTTGGCTTCATCCCAGCCTCTTGTGTCCTTTGGTGGCCGGGTAAGTATAAATGAAATGCTCAGGCCTGGGTTAATACCATAGGTGCTGCTTAGAAAAACAAGCTCCATTTTCACTTTGACTCCTGATACAAATCACAAGCATGGTCATTGATTTGAATGTGTGAAGTATCCAGGGAAAGAAGGAGTGGCTGCTCTGATTAATAAGAAAAGAAAGCAGCTCTTGAATTTTTCCATTATGTTTAAAGCTGAGCAAATGCTTGGAGAACAGGGTGAAGCGCAAACTCCCTCTTCTGGAGATACACAGTGCCACTGTTGTACTGGGAATAAAATAGCAGAGCAGGCTGGCTGGCTGGACCGTGGGGTATCTGCCAGACGGTGTGTGACTAAAAGCCATTATCTTTGCATAAATTCCATATGGAAGGGCTGCGCAGGCCCTACTGCCAGGAGAAAGCCTGCACCTCCAAGCACTGGCTACTTCAAACAGCAAATCTCTGCTCAGCTGCACCAGACGAGCTGAGTGCAGGGACGTTACTCTGCAGGTGTAGCTGTGCTAACACTCCCAAAAGCACATGCAGGTTCAGCAAGTGGAAAGGGTGACAGGGTTTGGTGTGTATAGGAAGGCCATCTACTCACACTAGAGAAGGCGTGCTTGCTTGCAAGGTTGTATGTATTAAGTGTGTGGTATCTGTGTGCATG